GTTGGACGCATCCTTCCACCAACACACGCCACCTGGGGCTGGAACCCCCCAGCGTTGTCACGCCAATGATATCCGCAATGGTTTTTTTTTTGTTATTTCCTTGTGTATTAAGCCTCTAGATGTTGTTGAAGGATACACTGCTGGATCGCTCTGTATCTTGTTTCTCTTTGTGTTTGCGATGCCTGTTGAGGTCTGTCCCTTTCTTTCCTCTGTGACACCTGCTTCGGCACACCGCTGGAGGTTCTCTTTGTCCGTAGATGAGAGGTGAGCCAGCAGTAGGACTGTATGCACAAGAGAGCTGGGTACGCCGAGCTCTTGAACAGTAAGCTTCGCAGTGACAAACTTCTGGCCCGTCGTGATGTGACACGGCTGGCAAAGCTCAAGGTGTTTCTTGACCAACACCAGCATGCCTCACAGTGGTCCACGTGTGTCGCCGCTCTCACCGATGCCTCACGTCATAATATCACTCCCACGAGCGAGATGCTGTGCGACGCAATTGAACGATGTGGACGCAGAGGGAAGCTGGACGTTGCACGAAAACTTTACACAGACTTCCACAGGGAAATCAATAAACCCCGCTCTATGGAAGTGCATGTGGCCTTTATGGCTGCCTGTGCGGACTGTGGGGACTTCGAGGAGGCTCAGAAACAGTTTCTGCGTTTACGACAGCGAGACGCGGACCTCCTGAAGAAAGATGCGACACACACACCTGTTGTTAACGATAATCTCACATCTGAGTACTTGCGTGCTGCGCTGGTGGCGTCAACGCGCCATGAGCATGGCTTCCGCTCCCTTGCCGCTGTCGCTACCGAGGGTATGACAAAGAGCAACGACACAAATGCTGGTGACAAGGTTGATACCGCATTGCCGTGGGCGCTGGCACTGAAGGAGTTCAGTTCTCTCCGCACGGGCGGTGAAGGGTTTCGTGAGCACAACCCACTGACACCCGTCGTTGTGGAACGTGTCGCGCGGCTCTGGGAAGCTGGTGGGAAGTGGGAGAAGTGTCTGCGCTTCCTCCGCGGCTGCGGCCAACAGAACGTTCTCATCCCACCTGAGGCACACGACGCAGCGATACGTGTGTGCTATCGCCACAGTAGGCACGCAGAGGTGGTATCGCAGATGCAACAAATGATTGCTACCCGTTCCCCACCAGATGAGCGCAGCGTTCGGCTGGCACTCACCTCCTGTGAGGAGGTGGCCGCAGTGGAACGGGGCGCATTGCTTCAGCAGCCCGCGGGGTGGGCCCTTGCAGTTTCTCTCTTTGACGCGATGCGGAACAACGGTGTGACTATGTACCAGCAGAACTACGAGTCGCCGCTGCGTTCGTGCGCCATGGCCGGACAGTGGGAGGATGCGATGCGAATCCTTGACGTCATGAAGAAAGACAGACGGCCGATATCCTCGCAGGTGTACCGTTTGGCACTGGCTGCTCGTATCGAGGCGTGCGACTCTTTTGATGAGGCCCAGCGTTTTGCCCAGATGCCGGTTATGCAAAACGGCGGCATGATTGTTTACCTGGCGCTTCTGCGTTGCTGCATGAAGCAGCGTGATTGGAAGAATTTTGATCGCATCAATAAAGAAATGCGAGACCGAGAAATACCCGAGACGTTTGATAAAATGCGCCTTCTTATCCAAGCCGCATACATGCGCGAGCAGTGGCACAGCGTCCTGATGCGCTTCGCCCGCTTTGAGAGCATCGCCGGTCACGAGCAGAAACGGGTGGTGGAGGATAAAGTCGTCCGGTCGTACCCCGAGGATTTCGACGTGCCTGACATTCTGCTCGACATGGTGATTGAGGCGTACGGGCATGTGAAGGACCACAAGGACCCTGTCGTCCACGTCGCATACCAGGCGGCACTGAAGCGAAAAGCAAAGGGCACGGCGCAGCTTTCATTCTCGTCCCAGCCTGCTGCCACAGCGCCGCCGGAAAAGTGGATGTTCTCACAAACGGAGAGGGAGAAGCAAACGCCTCCGAAGATCTTCTGAGGGGGTGTGGAGCTTTCGTTGCTTCCCTTCCTACTACGGCAAAAAAGAAAACTGAGAGTGAATTCTCTAACTAAATAGCGTCTGTGTTTGTATTATCTTTATTTGTGTTCTGTACCGTCCTCTCATCACCCCGCCACGTTCTTTCTCTCTTTTTGTTTTCCTATGCGTCTGCGTATGTGTGCCTTGGCCACTGCGTCTCGTTGCCAAGGTGTGACCACGAAGAAATGGCTTACGTGAAGAAGGACCAGGGCGCGGCGCAGGAGACGCAGCGCGTGCTCGTGAAGATGACGAGCCGCAACGCGAAGGCCGTGGAGAATGTGATGATGGAGCTGCTGACGCACGCGCGCAACGAGAAGGTGCAGGTGCGCGGACCGGTGCGCCTCCCCACACGCACGCTGAAGATCACGACGCGTAAGACGCCGTGCGGTAACGGTACGAACACGTGGGACACGTACGAGATGAAGATCTACAAGCGCCTCGTCGACCTGCGCGCCCCGACGGAGTTGGTGAAGAAGATCACGTCCTTCCCCATCGACGCCGGCGTGGACGTCTCCATCACGATCCCCGACGACAAGTAAGTGGTTGGACGCATCCTTCCACCAACACACGCCACCTGGGGCTGGAACCCCCCAGCGTTGTCACGCCAATGATATCCGCAATGGTTTTTTTTGTTATTTCCTTGTTTATTAAGCCTCTAGATGTTGTTGAGGGATACACTGCTGGATCGCTCTGATGGCGTCGTCCGTGTAATGTTTTTTATACTTGTGGATCAGCGCCTCTTTCCCTTTCTTTCTCTCTCTCTCTCTCTACCGAAGGGAAGAGGGGTGAGGGAAGGGGAATAATAGGAAGAAGAGTTAGGGATAACAATGCGCAGCTCTTCCTTTCAACAGCGCGGGGAAGCGGCGAAGGTGCGTGTTGTGGTGCCGCGCACATCGCCTGGTGCGGCCAGGGGCACCAACGTCGACGCGGCCGGGACGGCGCCCCGGCATGCAGCGCTGGAGTCGGCGCTCGTGAAGAACCTCAAGAAACAGGTGGCGTGCCTGGAGATGGAAGTTGCTGTTCTTAAAGGAGCCTCTGGAAAGTCCTCACAGCGAAATTCCGATGTTGCTGCAGCGAAAGCATCAACAGAGGAGGGTTCTGGTGCTAATCCATGCGTGGTGGAGGGGCAGCTCTCATCCTCCTCGCTGCGCAGTGGGTTGTCACCGGCCGGCGTCTCTCACATGGATCCCTTTGCGATGTGTTCTGCTGCACCGAAGGCGGCGGAGAAGAGGCTTCAGTCGTTGCGCCACGTGGATACTGCCTCGCTCCAGTTCACGGCGGAGCGCCTCCGTCTTGAGAAAGAGTCTGTAGAGGCGCAGTTGCAGTACGAAATGCGGGAGGGGGAGAGGATGGTGAAGGAAAACGCTCGGTTGAACTCTGAGCTCCGTGCAAGCCGAGGCAGAGAAGAAGAACTCCAGCGGCTTCACCAGGGAGCGCTGAACGCACTCAACACAGAGGAAGGGAGACGACGGGAGTTAGAAGACAAGCTGCGTGCTGCAGTGGTACCAGCCGTGGAGGAAGGAGGCACAGCGTCTATCGAGGACCTGGTGAACGAGAAGGAGTACTACCGTGTTCAGACCGATCGGCTGCGCTTCGCCCAGCAGGAGAGTCTCATCCGTATCGAGGAGCTGGAAAGGCAATTGAGCGTGGAGCGTATACAAACTGCTGCAATAGAAGAGAAGCTGTGCACAACACAACAGGAGGTGCGGCGGTCGCAGCAGGCGGATGCGGCAAGGATCGCTACGTACAAGCGCTTGGATGCGAGTCATGCTGAGGTGTGTGCTCTGCTTCGAAGGGCCGTGGAGGACTGCGACACGCTCCATCAACAGTTACGACAACGCCACACAGACCCGTCGTCGCCAAGCTCCTCTGTCTCCATTGGAGACACACTGCGAGGACTGGAGCGAATATCGTCGTGTCTGAAGAGCAGACATGCGCATGGGGAAGGAAGTAATATTTGCAGCGAGAAGAAATCTGGAGGAGCTTTTTTGGTGAAGGTTGAGGGATCGGTAGACAATTCTCATAAACCGTCACCAAACGCATCCCCATTGTCTGTAGCTGCAGCACCTTCTTCACCGCCGCCACCCGCTGCTGTGGTGCCTCCACCGCCACCGCCTACCGCTGTGGTGCCCCCACCGCCGCCGCCCACTGCTGTGGTGCCTCCACCGCCACCGCCTACCGCTGTGGTGCCTCCACCGCCACCGCCCACTGCTGTGGTGCCCCCGCCACCATCCGATATCGTTGTGCCCACGGCCGGGTCTTTTACAGCGTTATCATCTGGTGTGCCACAACGGCCTCTGCATGATGCAATAGATGACGAATTGGAGAGTGTCGAACGTAGAATCAGAGAGGAAGAGGCAGCATTGCTCGCCTACCTCAATGCTCGATGAGCCCTTGAAAAACAAAGATATACACTTAATGTCAGGAATTCCATTTACTGGCATCATGTGAAGGATTTCGCGTTAAGAATGTGTTGTTTCTCTACATATTTTTTTGTTGTTTTTTTTTTTTTNGAATTCCATTTACTGGCATCATGTGAAGGATTTCGCGTTAAGAATGTGTTGTTTCTCTACATATTTTTTTGTTGTTTTTTTTTTGTCGCACCCAGCCTATTATGACGTGCGCATGGACTCTTCTTCTGTTGGTTGGGTCTTTTGAAGCGCATTTTCGTAGGCATAACAATGCCGCGTGACGAGGTGGGTAGTGCCGCTGCGTCCCATCGTGTTGCGCGACACGGTAACCCTGGCAACCTCCGTATTTGCACGGCGACGGACGACCACAAGAGGCCTGACGGGGAGTCGCCGCGCCTCGACCACGCGTCAGCGGGCAGCGTGAAGGCTGTGGGTGGCTCACAACTTGCGGGGCCACAGCCGCTCTCTCGAACAGCTGGCACAACGGACGCATTGTCATTTTCGGCGACAAAGAAAATGGCTCCGGCTTCTGGTCTACCGCTTCCGCCGTACCTTAACAGCCAGTTCAGTCCTCTTCTGGGAGAACTGCTTGACAAGATCGTCGCCATTGAGTCTATATTGCGGCGGCACGCTCAGCCAGCTCCGTCATTTACGGCTTTTGACACTGACAGCAGTACGTTTGTAGATTCGTTATCCGATGGCACCTTGTCCCCTCACTCGGACTGTTTCACAACTGACAGAGGAGGAGTNGACAGCAGTACGTTTGTAGATTCGTTATCCGATGGCACCTTGTCCCCTCACTCGGACTGTTTCACAACTGACAGAGGAGGAGTTATCCGCGGCAACAACAATAGTTGTAATAGGACAACGGAATGTTGGCCGGTAGAAAAAAATACGCCTCCAGAGGTTTTTTTAGATCGACTGCTTGATGATGGGGCAGCATGTCCCAAGCCAACGTCTGCGATGGTGGTGAAACTCGAAGAGGGGGAGGAGGATATCCTTGGCGGTTTTGTTCAACAGGAAACACGGAAAGACGTTTCCACATTGCTTCTTGACGAAATTCTAGATACGAATGACGTGGTGGAGGACCACCAGCCGCCATCGCCTCACATTGCTGGTCCTCCCCCAATTGTTTTGACTCCGACGAGCTCCTCGGCGAGTGTGCCGACTGAAGAATTCTTTTCACTGAGAGGCGGCAGCACCTCCGTTTCGACTACAGTAATAGCAACGACAACGCCAAGGGGTGATGGCAGTTATGGTGATCGTGTCACAAGGGATACCGATGGTGCATCAGTATCGGCGGTAAGAGTTGTGGGCTCTATGCAAGGGTGGGTAGGATCGCTTCTTCAGTTGCGTGACGTCGTGGCCACGCGCATAAAGGTCATGCAACAGGAAGTAGATACCTACTACAACCAGTTCTGTGAGTGCATTGCCAACGCAGACCTTCTAGCGAAGCAATCTAAGTTGAATGAAGCAGTTACAAAACTTTGCGGCCACACCGATCGTCTCAACACGGCCCGAATGTTGCTTCAACAGGAGAAGTTACGCCTGCAGGTCATTCTGCAGTCACCAACATGTTCCAGTCAAAGGACCAGCATGGAAGACTCTTACACGCACGAACAGAGTGCTGCACCAGCTGACGCAACGCGAGAAGAGGAACAGCATACACAGCCGTCTGAAAGTGATACCCTTGTCCCTGCTTCCCCTTTCTGTGTTTGTCAGACAGCTGCGCCCCTGCGCGACAGTTATCTGCTCGCTCGCGAGGTTATGTCACACCGCCGCCAGCTTCTTAGGCTGGTGGAGATCTTCTGCGCGTGTCCCGAAGCTGTCGAGCAGTGGGCAGCGTTCCTAGAGGAGGAGGCGAACACCACGTGCCACACCGCCCTTGAGGGAATTTTCCGGGAATCTGAGGTGGAAAAGGAGAAGCTGCTGCGCGCCTTCGAGATTATGCTGTGGGAGAAACTTTGACGGGGTGTGACTCCTCCCTGTTGATACATACGTGATGGAATATATGTCTGTGTCTGCATGTCTCTCTGTGTAAATGTGTGCTGCGTATTCGTTTGAGAGAGGAACGTTGAGCGGGGGCGCTGTCATTTTCAAGTGTGCGTCAGCAGTGTTTCTCTCTTCAAGTTGAGATTGTTCCTGCATAACTCTTTTCCAATGCAACACGTGGTTATTTTTGGGAGGTTCGACTCTTTCTTCTTGCAGCGCAGTATAGGGGAACACGGGCCATCGCAGGAAGGAAGGGGAAAGCTTGAAGGATTGATATCCATTCGTTGTTGGTGTGGAGGTCTGCTGCAGGGGTCACCCTTCGCCACCACCACAGACGGAATTGAGCCGCATCATTCGCGTTGCGGGAAAAAAAAATTCTATGAACAGTTCCGCGGAGCGCAAGTTGCTCATCCCACGGCGTGCTGCGCGCCAAGAGGACCATCACCACTGCTGCAACCAGCAGAAGAATGAAACTAACAGGAGCACCACTTTCGGCAGTGGTGGCGCCGGTTCATACGAGAGCTCGCCACTTGGAGATGAGGTGGACTCCGATGACGAGGCGGAGGCAGGTGAAAAGTCGTGTTGTGGCAGAGTGCAGACGGGTTTCTCTCTGCTGTACGGTGTGACGCTGCAGCCACTCCTGGCGCGTCTCACACCGCGCCGCGTCCATCAGATTGGCCAACACCCACTCGAAGACAACGAAAACAACAAAAAATATAACAATGATGTCAGCATTAGTAGTCCCACAACTAACAACACTGAAGTCAGCGGTGGGAATGGGCTGAGCAGTGTAGTAGAACCGGGCGGGAGAGTAACTTTTAACCCGCCACGTGCAAGGCACGAGCGGGCGCCTCTGTCGCCGAATTCTGCCGGTGACAGTACGAGTACCAGAGAATTCGCCGGTGCGGCCACTGTGAAGCCTGACGCGGTGAGTGCAGTGGCTTCACGTTCGGTACAGGGAGGCGCCAACCGCGCGGTTCGTCCGGCGGATTGTTGTGACACAACGACGACAGAATTGCTACGTGCCATTGAGAGCGAGCGCGTGCCGCTGCGAACGTTGGGGCAACTTGCTTCCGTCGTTGAGCGATTCGCTGAATTCCTTCCAGTTCGGATTGAAGTGGAGGAAGAGAGAAGGAACGTGACGAGTTCGTCCTCGTCGCTCTCGTCTTCCTGCCAAGTATGCGTAGAGGTGCTCGGTCCGCTGCATGCTACACCCAACGCCGCTGCGCTGGGCCTCTTGGAAGACATCCTGCTAGAAGACTGCGTGGCGGGGTGCCTAAGCATCACCTGCATCCACTTCGCCGATATCGTCTTCTCAGGAGACGCCGCTTCTGGTGTGCAGAGCGCCACGCGAGTGGAAAGCAATGGGTACTTGGACGTCCTCCCATCGCTGGGTTTTTCCGTGGACAGGGGCACACGGTGTGGTACGGCGGACGCGGGGGCCATGTTGAAGGAATGCTGCGAGCGCGTATGTGCCTTTGCAAAAAATATGCTGGAGTGCTGCAGCTGCGTGGATACAGTGCACCTCACGCGCTGCAGTTTCACGCCAAGTGACTTGGGTCGTGGCCTCACGTTGCCCATCCTGCGACTACGGCGGCTTCTATTTGAGAGCTGCCCCCTCTCGGCGGCACATGTTGTCGCCTTTGTGCGTCTGGCAAAGACAGAGAACAAACGGGGTGGTGAAGTGCGTGCGCTTGAGAACCTTGTCGAGCTGCAGCTTAGCGGCTCCCTAACAGAGGAGGCACTCAACGCTCTGTTGTCGTACTTCAACGATGATTTGTTTGACAGTGAAGTGTCACTCACGACACTGCGACTCCCCACTCTGTGGGCACGGGTGGCTCGCTCACACCCACTCCTTGAACGTCACCCGCTCCTCGTCATAACAGGCACGTGAGGCACAAGGAGTGAAGGCATGCTTTCCTTCGAGCAATACTTACTATGTGTTGAGAGAAAAAAGTACTTTTTTTCAGTTGAGAGAGTAAGGATTCTCTGGCGTTTATGCGTTCAGGAATCCAGAACTCAGACGTAGTCGTCTTTCGCTTTTCAATGCAGACACACTATGACAACAGTGAAGCAGACTATTCCAATCCCTTCTTGGAGGGTTGTATCATTATTCAGGAAATGTAAACAACAAAACCTTGGTCAACATAATGCACCGGATTACATAAACTTCATTTCTTCTTCCGCATCTGCCACTCATGCTTATTCCCATACCAGAAAATGGCCTTGTCACCCTTTTTGCAACGGCTGTGCACTCAACAAGGAAGCAAACAAAATGATTTTGTGACCTGTTTGCTAACTGTGTGTGTGTGTGTGTGGACAGAACCCTCCTGTCGCCACGCTGAGGATCGAGCTGAGCGATGCAGACATGGTGCCATGTGTGTTGTGGGGCTGCTGGGTTATGGGCCAGATGTGCCATTGATGCACCACTCCAAGCCGTGGTCGTGATGCCCAATCGTACATGCCATGAGATTTCATTCCCTCTTCAGGGAATGAGCCGCAGATGGATGATGACGAAGAAAAGGGAATGCAGTGAGCAGCAACGAACGCTTTGGCGGTTGAGTCCGAGATGATTACGGTGAATGCGAAGGTGCCTTTTTGCAATAGCGGGTGCACGCAAAACGCGTCAGACCAGAGGGGGCGGAGGAGAGCCAGGGCATCAATGGATGGTGGGCCGCTGATGAGCAGTTGTGAGGGGGGTGTTGTGCCCCTTTGAACCACAACCGTGTACGCGGTTGCATGTCCGTGTGGCTCAATGGAAGAGCATCTGACTACGGATCAGAGGGTTGCAGGTTCGAATCCTGTCACGGATGTTTTT